GTTCTCCAAAATAAAAACCAAGTGTTTAAAACACTTATTTGATGTATTTGGCTAAGAAATCAAGTGAGACACTTTAAAAATCACTTCATTTGATTAAAAACCACGGCTAGCCAAGTTTACGCCGTTTTGCGTGGTTTTTGTCAAACGACTAAAAACGAGAGATGGTTTTCAAAGTGTTTTTGTTGGAGAACCGTTTAAACATGCCAAAGAGTGAAAGCAGATCATAAAATGCTGAAAACCACTTGGTTGGTTCGGATGCCAAAAACCAAACCCGACAACCGAAAGCCGAACGCTGGTTTCTGAAAGCCGAACACTGGATGGCTTGGTTTTTGGTTTGGGCGAACACCAAGTGTTTTTAATGACTTAAAAAAGTTTGAAAAACATTTTTATGATGTAAGACATGCAATGAGAGATTTTAGCCTAAAGAGCCAAGGTGTAAAGATTGGGTCGGTCTTGATCACAATAAAGACCGACTCAATACTATGATTAAGGTCTTCGTTCTTCGTCTTCGTTTAGCTCTTGCTCTTATCTTCGTTCTTCGCCTTGTATATTCAATGTTTGACTTGATCACGGCGGTTTGGCATTATCAAAACCTGTTACAAAAACAAACACGGCTTTAGTACGAAAACGTGACAAGCCCGTGTTTCAACAGCCCCTAGTTGACAAGAATGGTGCAGAAGGCTAATCATAAGAACCTTTACAAACGAGCTATGGTGGGCTTGGTTTTTGTAATAATGCCTAGGCCGAGCTAAAGGATTAGTAGAGAAGGGCTAGGGAAATCATGGCAAAAGAGGAAAATGGGTTCAATTAACATCATTTTTTTGGATTTCGTTGAGTAATTAAGATGTCAAATATTAGTTACAGTTTTAAACAACACGTTTTGTACTATCTTCTACCTATTGCAAATTTTCCCTTTGGGATAATGAAGGAGAAAATTCGGGGTGTAATTGTGTAATTTCTCAATTCAATAAAGTTTGGGATATCTCAAGTTACACAATACTTTGCACACCTAAGGCAAACACAGACAGTGTCTTATGTATCCATATTCACCTTTAGGGTGCAAAGTTATGTGCAACTTGGGGTAACCATAGCAAATCTGAATTCCTTTATGGTGTGTTTGGAAACTTGAATTTGGATTTCAAATTTGGATTTGATTCAAATTACTTGTTTGAGATCTCAAAGAATTTGGATTTGGATTTGGACCAAATTCTTCTAAGTCAAAATTAACCCAATTACAAATCCACACCTCTCCCCATGTCATTTACAAATTCAAACACAACTTTTCTTTAATTTATAACTTGTAATTAAAGAGTGATATCCCTTTATGCGACAACAATTCCATACATATCAACCCGCTTCCATTACCGTCTTTGCCGACTTCAAAATTCAAATTTTAGAAATGAAATTCTATGACTTCCCAAACAACATTTGAAATTTCAAATTATGAGATTTCAAATATTGGAATTGAAATCTAAGATTTCAAATGAATTCTAGTTCCCAAACACTACCTTAATTTCCTACTCGAATCCAAATCTCTATCAGCCTTTTACTCTTAAGCTCCCAACGTCTCACTCTCATTGCATCTCCGCCTCTCGTTCTCGGTTGTTACACGGTGTTAGCAATTCAATGCCAGAAGCCGCTCAGAATGGAAATATGGAATCAAAGACAGGCTATTTAAAGAAGTCCAGCTAGTTATAGAGTTCTAACCGACCTAACTAACTGCCAACCACCTCTAACTAGCTTCACAATTCCTAATCCTCATGTAACATTCCTCCCCCCACACAAAAAAGATAACCCGCCCTCAACATCAGATTACATTGACTAGACAAATCAAAAATGGTACAATTACAAGTTATGTATGCTCCAAAAATTTAGGAAACTTTTGCTCAATATCCTTCGAGTTCCTCCATGAAGCATCTTCTATAGTAGTATAGTCTGCCCTTCCCATTGGATTAAATACTGTACTGCATCCTTATTGCCTTGCTTGATCATTCTTCTTCCCAATATAGCAATGAGTCGGAGGGGTTATCCACATCTCTTCGTTGTTACAACTCTAGAATCTGAGGCTGTTTGTGTAGTATCCCTATGAAGGCCTTGAGTTACATGGAAAGTGTGATGAATATGGGCTGATTCAGGCAATATAAGTTTGTAGGCAACTGATCCCACTTTAGCTTCTATTTGGAATGGTGCCTAGAATTTATGAGATAACTTGTGATTAGTCCTTGCTTGTAATAATTTCTGCCTTTACTCTTTAGGGTTGTAGCTTAAGCCATACTCAATCTCCCATTGCCATTTGTCTTTCATTTCTATGCTAGGGGAATCCAATTACTCCATTCTTTTTGTTGTTCACTGAACATGCACCTCAAGTAGGCTTCTAAACATCTATTCACCATTCTGTTTGACCATCAGTTTGGGGATCGTAAGAGGTTGGGGAAGCAAATCTATTGGGAGAAAGACTTAAATGGGGACTAAAATATAGGAAAAGAATCAAAATAAGACCTTCATGTTTTATCCCAAAATAGGATCTATAATGCCATTAATGTCAACATATGATACCAAGAAATACTGTGGAACGCCAATATACAGTGCCACATTGTGACAATGCAATAGTCCTATTTTGTGATTAAAAACATGTCACTCTTATTTTGGGGATAAATTCTATATTTTGCTTTTATTTTTGGGTAATTTTTTAAATCTATTCCCTAAATTGTTATTAATGTTTGCCAAAATTCGTGTAGGAATATTTTGTCCCTGTCACTAACAATAGTTTGAGGCCATCCATGATCCATGTAGCTTGAACACAGTTTTAAAATAGATTTGGGCTACTTCTGCATCAGAAAAAGGATGTCCCAAAGTCTTGAAATAAGCATATTTGCTGAATCTGTTAACCATTACTAGAATAACTTCCATTCCTTCAGATTTTGGTAAGCCTTCTATAAAATCTGTAAAAATGTCTCTCTTAACTTCAGTAGGTATCTCTAAGGGCTGTTGTAAGCCAGGATAAGGGCTGTTTCCATATTAAGAGCTTTGACAAACCATGCATTGCCTAATATGGTGCTGCACATCTCTGGTCATCCCTTTCCATACAAATAATCCCTTAAGTTTTCTTAATGTAAAATGCCTTCCAAAATGTCTAGTGGATGAATCATGTAGCCACCTTATTATTATTTGATTTTTTAATTTTGGGTTTGGCCCTATGACCTACTTGCCCTTCTTCCTTGAGAGATCTTCTTGCCACGATATCTTTCAAGTTATTATCTAGGTGATAACTTGCTTTGATAGAGGACAAGATATCTATATGTGCTCGTGATATAGCCAGAGCCAACATTTCTGAGCCCCTTACCTTGGATAAGGCATCAACCACCACATTTTAAACTCCACCTTGATCCTTGCTAAAAAAACCCAACTTTTATAATGCATCTCATACTGTAATCACATGAGTTTTGACAACCAAAATTGTTGGAATGGAGCTGAAATCTTTTCCTCCGTCAACTATTTTAAACTCTTCTGATCTGTAATAATCACAAAAGGATTACTACCCAAATATTGCACTCATTTTTGAACTGTCTGCTAGGAATTCCTTTTCATAAACCATAGTTATGCGCATGATGCATAGAGGTTTGCGCCATATTTTTTCTGATGCGAGCGCGCGCATATCTTCGCATCACGTACGCACCTTTAACTTTTTTTTAAAAAAATTCATCAATTAAGGTTACTCATGGTGTCGGAAAGGTGTTGTCCAGTCAAGTTGACGAATCCTCGAAGTAGATGATGTAGTAAAATTTGTGAATGTAGTTAATATAGTACGAGCTGTTTTTTTTAAATTCCAGATTTTTATTTATCTTGCAATTTTGCTTTGAAATTAAATTTAATACTTTTTTTTCAGGTTTGAGAGTAAAAACTGATGTAGCATTTGAGATTTGAGAATCAGGTTGGTAAGTCAGTCGCTCCTTTTGTTATTTGTTTTCACAGATTCTTTTTTGTGAGGTTTTCCCCTCTTTTCCTTCCTGTATTTATATTTTTGTACACTCTTTCAAGTTTCATGTTTCATGTTTGGAAGAATCTCTAGATTTTGGGTTTGAAGAACTTGAAGGACCAAATTCTAATGATCCCGGATGGAAGTATGTTCGGAGGTTTACAAAAACAAATAAGAGTGACACCAGTTGTCTAATTTATAATAAAATCCATGAAGTCTATACTTCGACTCTTGGTTGCTTTTTAAAATTCTCTTATGCTTTTTAAGATTTTATATTTACTATTACTATTTTATAGATGCTAAGCTACTTATGCCTCAATGTGCGCATTCTGTTCGTGATGCGCGCGCATCAATGGCGCATCGTGCATCGAGTCACTAGAGCCCCTTTGTGCATTGGTGCGCATCGCACCTTATATAACTATGTAATATACAGAGAATTATTTCCATTTAGGCCCTAAGGTATTGCTTATGAAAGCTAAAGGATGTTTGTCTTGCATGAGAACAACCCCAGTTCCATAAGTAGAAGCATTAGTTTCTACCACAAATGTCTGGGCAAAATTGGGAAAACCCAAGATTGGGAAGAGCTATGTTCAATTGTTCAAAGGCCTGTGTAGCTTCCAAATTCGAGCTAAAGTTTCTCTTCTTCAGTATTTGGGTCAGACGTTTTGCAATGAGAACAAATTATGGGCTGCAACTAAGTTGAATAATTATGCTCTTATCCAACATCTCCTAAACCAATACTTCAATTACATTTTTTTGTTTGTTTAAGAGCATATCTGTAAGGTCCGATGCTTCTAGGAGTATGCAGTACCTTGCTTCAAGGGCATCTTGTGATAAAAAAATACCTCTACTAGGTGGTAGGTCAGAAGTTTCTCTAAACAGCTCCTCATATTGTAACATTAGCACAATACCTCAGCATGCAATTTGTGGATGAGGGTCTTTTAATGTTATAGATAAGCAATGCCATCTTTCCTTAGCCTCCAATGTTTCATTTAGCTCATCTAAAGGTAAGATCTGTAGCATACAGAAATACTAAGCTTCTGTTATTGCTCTATGTATCTGAGAACCTTCTGCAAGTTTGATCTTAGGACCATGTAGATCTCTCAGTATGGGGCCCTTTCCCTTGAAACTGAACTCTCTCTGTAATTCTTTGGAATTTTATTTTATAGTTTCCAGAGTACTTAACCACTGTACGTCTGTACTCCTGACTACATCACAGATTCCCAAGGGAATTAGAAACACATCAGTGCTGAAATCAGTGCCTTGCAGCTTCCATTTAAAAATTCTGCATACATATTGACAGTTTGACACTTCAATTACTGCCATCACCCAGTAACTTCTCTAATGTGAGCCTCCAACTTGCAACCCAATTTCTTGGCAAGACCAACATCCAAGAAATTATGAGTGCTACTAGAGTCGTTCAGGATCTGAATGGTTTTCTTACCATAGTGACTCACATGGTTTCATAACCTGTATTGCCATTGACAGCATGGAAGGAAATGCAAGGTTCTGTTTCTAAGATTTCAAATCCCTTAGTATATCACAAGGATATTCCTCCTTCTCCTCCTCTATTTCCTCTTATGTTAGGTCTTCACCTGGAATTTCAACTAGAAACAACTGAGTTTCCTAGTTTGACATTGGTGGCCCCTCTCATAAGGTTGATCACAGAAATAATAGTCCCTTAGCACTTTTCTATGCTCTTTCTGCTGCTGATAAGGCCTTAGTATGTCTAAAAATCCCAGTCGTGCAATTAGTTGAGCACAATTTGTTGAGTTGGAATTGTTGTTGTTCCTGTATCCAACAAAAGAACTGTTATTGGTGTAGGCAATAAGGCCGCTGTAGGTGTTGGCCTTGATGATAATGTCTTAGACACACTTCTTGTAGCTTGTATTGTCTCTTCTTGTAGCCTGGAAAACTGAACAGTTTCTTCCAAGAATTGAGGCTTTAAAGCTTTCACGAATGGCTTTATATGAGATTTTAAACCACCCACAATGCTATCTATGAAATAATCTTCAGGAAGCCTGGGTTTTTTTTTGTAGCATTATAGCTTTCAGGTCTTCAAAACTCTCTAAATGTTCCTCAACAGTTCTCTCTTCGTCCAATTTATTGAAATCTTTTACATCTTTACTATCAAGTTCATCTTTAAATCTTCAACATACATAAAAAATTAATTCATCCTATCCCCCTCCTTTCTTGAAAGTAATATAGCTAGCAAACTAAGTTTCGGCCTTACCTACTAAATGGATTGAAGCTACGTCCAATCTTTGTTCTTCAGGAATCTTACACAGGTTGAGATTCCGAGAACATTTCTTAATCCAGTTTCTTGGATTAGATCCATTGAATACAGGAAAATCAATCTTAGGTAAGAAGTTAAAAGGATTTTCGAACGTTTTTCATTTTGGATGACTTCTGAGTTGGATCTGTACTAATTACTGCTTGATATCTCCAGCATCATATTCTCCAACATCTTCTGTTGCTCAGATTTTATCTCTTCGGTTTTTTGATTTTGTGATGCAAGTTGTTGTTCCTCAATAGATTATTTTGAACTTTCTTCCATCTCCATTTCTTGTTTGTGCGAAGATGGAGATAGCTTTGATGCCAATGTTAGCCTTTCAATGCAGGAAGCTGCTCGGAAATGAAGCAGAGAGCTTCGAGGATGAAGCTAAAGAAGAATCGAAAATAACAAATTTGAGATTGTAGAGAAAAAGGTGTTGTAGAAAATGAAGTCTTTATTGATAATATGGTCACTTTCCATTTTTCTTTCTAAAGTATGGTAGTAAACTACAAGGTATAAATATCACACGGTCGCTTGTATCTTAGGGGTGTAGATTTTTAATCTACAACATTTGAGGCATTTGTTGATTTTGAATCTAACATGTATTTTCTTATTGTTGTAATGCCTTGAATCTGATCTGTTACAGCTCCAGATCCAGAGAAGTTCAACTTCTGAGAAATCCGGATCCGGAGAAGTCCGGCTTCTGAGAAATCCGATTTCCGGAGAAGTCGAGAAATCCGAATCTTGAGAAATCTGAACCCTACTCTATTTGGGCTTCTAATTATCTGTTAATTCTGTAGTTTTGGGCCCAAGTCTGTTAGGGTTTAGCCAAGCACTATTTATATGGGTGCTAACACAAACCCTGTGTGGTATTCTGTATTCTGTTTTTGCCTCTCCATCAGAAATAAAACTGCTCCCCCTCTTCCCCCATGGACTAGCCAACACAACGTTGGTGAACCACGTTAAATCTGTTGTCGTGTTTTCTTGTTTATTTTTGTTATTCTCAATTTCCGCATAACAAACTGGTATCAGAGCCAGGTTAATCTGTGTTCTTGGAGAATTTCGAGATGTCTGCTTTGAACGTGAAAATCGACAAATTCACAGGGAGGAATAGTTTCAGTTTATGGCAGATCAAGATGCGGGCTTTGTTGAAACAACAAGGCTTCTGGGCGCCGTTGTCGAAAGACAAAAACGCCGTCTCTACTCCTGAGATGGCGACTCTGGAAGAAAAGGTGCACTCAACGGTCATGCTGTGTCTGTCAGATGACGTTATCACGGAGGTCTCAGACGAGGAGACTGCTGCTGGCTTGTGGTTGAAATTGGAGAGTCTGTACATGACGAAATCTTTAACCAACAAGCTACTTTTGAAACAACGTCTATTCGGTTTACGAATGGCTGAAGGTACACCACTCAGGGAACATCTAGAGCAATTGAATACTTTGTTATTAGAATTGCGTAATATCGATGTGAAGATCGAGGATGAAGATGCTGCCCTGATTCTGTTGGTATCTCTCCCAATATCGTTTGAGAATTTTGTTCAATCGTTCATTGTTGGGAAAGATATTGTGTCTCTGGAAGAAGTTAGATCGGCGCTTCATAGTAGGGAATTGCGGCATAAGGCTAACGGCACGAGTACAGATGTACAACCTTCCGGCCTATTCACCAGTACCGGAAAGGGAAAGAAATACGGCGGAAAGAAGAAGGAGAGAAAGCCGTCGTCAAAGGGTGCAAAGCCGGATGAGGTCTGTAATTACTGCAAGGAGAAGGGGCATTGGAAGTTTGATTGTCCAAATAAGAAGAAGCAATCCGAAAAACAATCAGTTTTTGCTGTTGTTGCTGAAAAAGGCACCAACTCTGAAGAAGACATTGCCTTAGTTGCTGATGAAAACACTCATCACTCAAATGTGTGGGTTCTAGATTCTGGGGCATCCTATCATATTTGTCCAAGGAGAGAGTGGTTCACGACTTATGAGCAGGTAGACGGAGGGAGCATTTCGATGGCCAACAGTTTTGTCTGCAAAGTGGTTGGGACAGGCTCGATCAAGATAAGGACACATGATGGTAGCTTCTACACTTTGAACGAGGTCAGGCACGTTCCATTTGTTAGCCAGGGTTTGCTAAGTCTCATGTTTTGATGTTAACAAACAATATAAGAGTTTGACGTTGGTTTAAGTGTTTCAGGTACAACAAGAATCCATTAAGATTCGGTACTCAAGTATGAAGTCGAAACACTAAACTAGCGTAGAATATAGGTAGAAACCAATGTAAGGATATGACTTTATATACCTATATTCACAAGCTCAAAAGCACTCACAAAATATGTTAAAAACCATCCCATAAACATTTTCAAAATATCCAAAAGGTTTTAAACTCAAACGCGAAGGATTACGAGAATTTTGGAAAAAGCAGGACAGTGGCACGGTACCCCTAGCGGTACCCCAAACGGTAGGGTATACCGCCTACACGGTACCCCCATACCGTGTAACAGTACCCAGGTACCGTACGGTAGGCACAGACGGTAGGCCACCCCGTCCTAACCCGGTACCGCCAGAGGCGAAAACTTATTTTGGCCTATACGGTACCCCCACACGGTAGGCCGTACCGTGTCACGGTACCTAGGTACCGGATGACACGGACCCCCCTACCGTGAAGGGTACCGGATCCGTTACAGCACTGTAGCAAAATTGCCAATTTTGAATTTAGTCAACCCTAATCACCTCCCAACGGCTAATTAACATCTTCCACTATAAATACAAGCCTAATCCTTCATATTTCTTCAAGAAACAAAGCTCTAAACATCCTCTCTTTTTATTCTAAGTGTGTTCATCCTTTTATTAATTATTTTCAATATTTTGGCTATTTTAAGAGCCTTAAATTCCTGATTTTTATACACACACTTTGAGCTTGTGTTTCTAGTTATATATACTCTCATATTCATAAGTTTGAATTGTATTTTTGAGAGAGTATACTTTCCTTCTACACCGGCTAAGTTTTGTTCTTCATTTTTATATTCAAGCCGTTGTGTAGAACTCTTGTTTGTGTTCTTCAAACACATCTTTATACGGT